AGCACTGTATTGTTGTACTTTCATGATCTCTGGTATACATGTATTGTGATCTTATCATATATCAAATTTGTTTTTATGTATGACGTGACTTCATTTGCGTTATATGGCGTAAAGACGCGCTCAATGATGTTTTGTAAAATTGGTGTTTAAAGTGTGCATATTCATACAGAAGTGGTGAATAAAGATATATCTTCTATCTTCAGTAAAAGAGCTTAAAAATGTTTAAACAATATTCAATTCAAGGATCAAACAATATGTTTATATCTATCATAATTACAATATGCATTTCAATAGATAAAATATGCACTTAAACATTTGATAGTGTCATTAAATACCAGTATCAATAGGATTTTATGACAAGATAAAATGCTAAATACCTTTTGTAATAAAATATAAGTAATTGAAAATTATTGATGTTGCATTAAAACGTCGAAAATAGTTTTTAATTTATGAGCTTATTTATCATAGATATATTTGTGCATACCTCACACCTTTAACTTCAATGTATACTAAATGTGCGATGAAACTTAAAGATAAAGCCCAGGTAACTTTGAAATCATATAAAACAGTTACAGGTCTCTCGTCGATACATACGCATAGAATTGATTTTGGAAAGCCCTAAGATTGCTTTGCACACAAAGAGGAAATAATCAAACAATCAATTTAGAATCGCTTGCAAGCTGGAAACCAATTCCAAAAGGATTTACAGGCTTAAAATGAGAATTACAACGCAATATTTAAAGGCCCATTATGCTCCAGAAATGCTTTTTGTATTTTCTGATCGACGATCAGGAAATACAAAGCTAACATTCAACCTCTGACACAGCGGTTTCACGACAAACCTAACAACAAGTAGTTCTTAAAACAGGTTATAACTAGCGATTTAAAGAAAGAAATATGTTCATTTTGTTACAAGTAGCCAACAAATTTTTTCAACGCATTCAAAGTTTAAAAGTATTTTTGGGTTATAGAATTGTCAATAAATGCACATTCACAAATAACGCGGATGAATATGACTTTAATCAATGAAAATGCTATCGATCATAGCGTGTTTCACAAATACTAGTAAATAGGACTGTTGAGTACTGGAATATATACATGTCTGACTGTTTTGGCGAGAAGATTTTTGCTAAATTATTTACATCAATGTTAAACAACAGGTTTATCGTGAACAAAATACCCGAAATTAAAAAGGATTACAAACCCGAAATGCAACGGAAATTCTAAATTTAGTATTACTTGGTTTTATTCAGGCTTTCTTCGTATAACTTCTCTGTGGTGCAGGGGTAACGCGCTCGTTAAGCGTGTCAGAGGCCTAAGGTTCAAATCCCATTCAAGGCAACTTTTTTTTAAGTTTCTTTGTTAAGGAAGTAGCCACGATATGCAAGGATAAAGTGTGGCTGTCATAAAAATGAACATAAATGATTTTTTGATGCAACTCTAGTCATGCAAAATTCCGTATGTATCAAACTCTGGTGCCCTACAAGAAGAATTATAGTGCATAAAAATAAACTTATACAGGAAAATAATACAGATATACAGTGCGATTTAGAGTGCAAAGATCACAAAATACCACAGAGCTTGCAGCCCTTTGATTATTTTATTTCTCAAAAACCTTTTCGTGCCACGGACGCGCTCTCATGTGCGTTCAAAGCATGGGATTTCGACGGCTACAATCAAAAAAGTGGCCCAAACAGAATAACAGCTTTGTCGACAAAAACAATGCGCATGAAACCAACGTATACGTCACATGTGTATTTTTTTACTTTAATTAGTCCGTTTTGCACAATACCGTTTATTAAAAAAAATAAGAGGAAAAACCCTTATAACCCTTATAAATACCACAACCGCCATCTTTATCACTATCATCATCATCAGCAGCATTATCATCATCATTATCATCATCACAAGTGTATTATAAATAAATATGTCATCGATTCTTAATAAAAGTATGTGATAGACGAATACATGTATTTCACCGAATTTTTAAAGTGTATATTCAACAAATATTTCACCAAATAAGCGCAAAACATACTTCGTGAGTATCGTACTGCAATATCCATGTAATCAAAAATATATGATCGGCTTGCCTAAAAAAAATTTGTATATTTTTTGCTGCTCGAACAAAATGATTCCAGGACACTAAATAAATCTACAAGCTGTATTAGTTTAAACATATTTAGTTATGCTCGATGGCGAAACACGTTCTTTCAACTTATATGAATCATTTTAGAGTAAGCTTCCTGGAACTAACCAGTACTGGTGTCAAATGAGTAACATAAAATCGTGACCCGAATTTGGCTCGAACCCACAAAATGTTTTGTTCGTTGTTTTTTTTGTTGTTGTTTTTGCATATATATGTAGAGGAATTCAAGATTGATACAATAATAGCATGAAAACTTCATTTCAGGCTGTTGTAACATTAAATTTTGACCCCGTTTAAAAATTAACCATGAGTCAATTTTCAACGGTTTATTGATCATTTTTATACGTTGAAAATTGATCCCTGCATGCATGCCTGTTGACCCACCCTCACGTTAAAAACTGACCCCCGTTGAAACTGATCAACTGTTCACAGGCAATGTTTTGACGATCGCTATAATTTTGCGCAATTGTGGTCATATAGTACATGTATAGATGAAACATATACATTTTTGTTGTCGTTTTCATGTTTTAAATGATTAACATACTGTTAACTCCTCTACTTATTATTCATGCAACATAGACTGTTATATGCTGTTTACATAAAAAGTGAACTATCATACTACTTTAATACATTAAAACAAGAAGGAAAACAATGAACTTACAGAAAAGGGAAAATAGTGATGGTTTTTGTGTTGTTGTTTTGAAAATCTACATATTAAGAATATGTTGCACAAAACAACGTTGTTTAGGTGTATGACTAAAATATATCAATTTTGACCAATTTTAGAATATGCCATTAAGATAAGTTTTGGATGTCAAAATTGGCCCTGCCATGGGGTCATTGGTTTTTCTTATATAAATAAAGTAAAAACTTTAAAAAAAACTCAACTTCTGGAACTTAGATAGTAAGGATGAAACAACATCTTATGGGTCTACTAAGATTGTTCAAATTGTGGCGTGTCCTGATCATTGGTTTCCCTTTTATATATGTACATTGTATAAGGTAAAACCTTCAACCTCCATCGTGATTATGGAGCATAAGAATCTCAAACTTTCTCAATGAAAATGTGCTTCGAATTTTATTAAAAGTTTAATTGTTTTGATAAAGTGAAAATCACTAATTGAATTGTCAAATGTATTTAGTTTCAAATAATAAAACTAGACATAGAACAAAACACGTTTAATCCGTCACAGTGACTTGACCAAAACTAATATTTTGCTTTTATTGTTTGATTGTTGTGTATTTTTAAAAAGATGGGATTTATTATAGACTGTATGTTGAACTATCATATTAAACATTGCATACCGTAGTTTGAGTTGTATATACAGTCTAAGCGGCTACAATAAGAGGAATGGTACTCACAATATCCATGTACAGTAACATGATAATTTGATCAAGTTTTACAATAAAAGGTATAAGTTATCTTACTCTTCGTGTACAATGTATCAATAGTATTTATCATCTGGCTTTTAGGAATGAACATAGATAACTTATCTTGTATTCATATACTGACAAAATATCCCTTTAATTAAATAAAGACAAATTATATTTAATTAAATTTTCTTTTCTTACACCTGAAATGAAAGAATTAATGTAGAACGTAAACTTACATAGTCCCAGTATATTTAGTGACAAGTCGATCAGACAAACATTAGAGTGTGAAATTGCAAAAAAGAAGCGCCAAACTTATTTTTAAAAATCATAACAAACAAAACAAAAACCTTGAAAAGTTTGAAAATCTAATATTGAATATATAGATCCAGGGATGTAGATAACAGAGGTAAGCAGCTCCTATATACTCCATTGAAATATTACTTATGCCTTATAAAAAGTGAAAAATTAGGCATTTTGTAGCAACTAAAAACTTAATGGGTGTAGATTTGATCTTTTTATAGTATAGACCATTTGAAAGTTAAATAATTTATCTGTCGCTGCATGTTAAAGTATTGGTAGCTTTCTATGCCCTTCAATTTAAAAAAAAAACGTAGCAGAACATACCCTCCGAGTCAGTTTTTCGTCATATGCATAGTTATGTAACAAAGGTTACTAAGAAGATCTCTTCAAAAAATGATGTATCATTTATTTAAATAGGAACACATGCTGCCAGAGACAAATGTATATAATTATGCTTTCAGAAAATGTATTTTTTTTAACTGATTTTGATATTTGGTCTGGGATATACGATATCGTATGTCCCAGATTTGGTTAATAAATTTTACTTGCTATAAGTTTTTGGTTTAGCAAGCAAGCAATTTTGATGTCTTAACTGGCTTGGAAGTTGCCTATCTCTGTTATCTATGCCTCTGATAGATCAAATAAAAATTATATACTGTATGTTATATAATTACGATGTATACTCAAAAATTCCGGTCAAAAAAGTCACTGAAGCACAAACTTCAAGTAGCTCAAAATAAGGTTGTGCGCTTTATAAAAGATTACACTCCTAGGACTTCGGTGACAAATAAGGTTCTGTCCGATCTTAAATTATTAAATGTCAATGATAGAGTTAGACAGTTAAGACTCAACCACATTCATAAAGTTTATTACAACAAAAGCCCTTCTTATTTAAAGGAATTGTTTAAGGTTTGTAGAATATCCAATTTATTGATTGTTGAAAATTGTCATTTATTTTAACTTCTTTATAATTCATTTATTATTATGTAAGTTAGTGTAATAATTTTACAGTAAATGGACCCCATTGGAAATAAGCTTTTAGCTTAATTGGCAATCCTAGGGTTACATAGAACATACTCATTAATTAATCTTATAATTATTTTTGTTGCATTTATGTGTGTGTTTTTATATATATTCAAGTTGATATATGTGATAAAATTGTATGTCGGAGAGACCGGAGACCGGAAGCGACTGGACCGGAGAATATTACATCCTTGAAACCTAACGCATGCGCAGAGATTGCCTTTTCTCTGAGATTCCCACTTTTTCAATAATCATGGAAAATTATGTCAATCAGTTGTTAAAGGATGCCGATTTGGCGTAATATATTTATTACATATCGACTGTTTTAATTGTTACGATCTGTCATTTTTTGCTGGCTTTAACGTCTGAAGGAACAATTTTCTTTATTATGTCATATGTTTTCGCGACTTTAAAATTTTGAAAAATATTCAAACTTGAATTATTTTATTCTACCAATTATAGCCATTCAAGTTGGATATATATTTGAATACCTACGTTAAGTTTATTATAAGCACGATCTGTAATTTCCAAAATAGATGGATACTGCTCCAAAAACGTGTCTTGTTTATTCATAGACACTGGGTGTAGCTCCAAACGCCATTGTGCAGATTCCATGGTCTTAACCAGGACATTTCCTTCTCCTGTAGTTTAATATAGAAGGTTTACTTCTGAAATATATGGCAGGGTTTAATCCGGGAAATTGGCAAAAATGAACACAAGAGCATAATTGAACTGTTGAAAACAGATTCAATGGCCTAGACCACAGGAAATTATCTGAAATCATGAAATTCTAATAATATATCTAATAATAACGATAGTATAAAAAAATACTCCCTATATAGTAATATGAAAAAGGCAAAGCTTTAAAGCGAGCTTGATTGACTTTTAACGTGAAATAGTATAAAATATTAAAAAACATTCATTTTTAGCTCGACTTTTCTATGAAAAGGGGAGCTATCCTACTCGCCCCGGCGTCGGCGTCGGCGTCGGCGTTTGCGTCACACCTTGGTTAAGTTTTTCATACCACCCCACTTTATTTCAGAAGTATTACAAGTATGGCTTTGAAACTTACCATACTTGTTCACCATCATAACCTCCATCTACAGACAAGAGTACATAACTCTGTCAAGGTTTTTGACAGAATTATGGCCCTTTTTTGACTTAGAAAGTGTATTGAGCTTGGTTAAGTTTTTTGTACCACCTCACTTTATTTCAAAACCATTGGAGGTATTGCTTTGAAACTGACCATACTTGTTTACCATCACGACCTTCATCAACAGACAAGAGGACATAACTCTGTCAAGGTTTTTGACAGAATTATGCCCCTTTTTGACTTAGAAAATACATTGAATATGGGTAAAATCCACTTATTGCCTTAACCCTTTGAGATATTGCTTTGAAACTTTTAATGCTATTTCACATCATTACCCCCATCTGTACGCAAGAGAAGGTAACTCTGTCAAGGATTTTGTTTTAAAAATTAAGGCCTTTTATCGACTTAGAATCTTGGTTAAGTTTTTAGTACCAGTCCACTTTTTGACTGAACTGTTTGAGATATTAATTTGAAAGTTGGAATACTTGTTTACAATCATGATTCCCAAACATGTCCAGGAGAAGGTAATTCTGTCAAAGATTTTATTTGAATTATGGCCCTTAACTGTCAATGTTTTGACTTAAACATTTCAAACTTTGCTGCAGTGTTCAAGGGTATCACACAATTCAGTAAAATAATTCTTCACTAAATATCTTAATGCTCATGGCCATTGTTCACTTTAAAAATACAGAGATTCTTGTATTGCCTTTTACTGCAAAAACTTTTTTTATTGGCAAGCAATAAAAAAGTCGAGCGCGCTGTCTTACGGACAGCTCTTGTTATATTATATTTTTCGTTTTAAAATTGTCATTTGGTATTTAATACACTGCTTCCATTTATTTTGGTTCCCTGTCCTGTTATGGTTTACATAGAAGTGCGCAGGACACCGGTCTATGCTTCCGTTTTCAATCAGAAAACCTCTGCTTTTATGGTAATCTTGTAATTCGAAAAGTTGCGATGTGTCAGTTCAGTACTTTGGACGAAAGTTTATAAAACCATCACTATCTAGCAGGTTTTTGTTTGATGGGTTTTATGTCACACCGACACAGTATAGGTCATTTGGCAATGTTCCAGCTTTCATGGTGGAGGAAGACCTCAGGTGCCCTTCCGCGCATTATTTCAGGCACGAATGGGCACCTGAGTAGAACCACCGACGTTCCGTAAGCTAGCTTGATAGGTTCCTCACATGAAAGAATCCAAGGTCCCTGTAGGGATTCGAACCTACAGCGGTGAGGGACAAGTGGTTTCAAGTCAACAGCCTTAACCACTCGGCCACGGACGCCCTCATCTAGCACATACTCACGTTACTGTATAGCTCGCTTTGCGAGCAGGCCCTTCGGGCCAGCTTTTCGAGCTCACTATAAATTTTACTATATTAAATGGGGGTGATTTATGGATATTATGATATCGTTAATATTAGTTATTTGATAGAATTTCAAGTTTCTGTGCCTAGACGTGATAAATCAGAAAAGGGGAAAAATCAAATTCCAACAACTGAGAATAGAATTTACCCTCCTATTTTATAAAATTTTCAATTTTAATTCATAATAACATACATGGTACATAGCAGAGACTATCTATAGGGACCACTTCCTGCTAATATGTCAGCTGCTGATAAGTTATGGTTCTGGTGAAGAATGTGCACAGGGTATTTCGGGGGAAATATAACATATTTAGGGGAAAATATACCTATTTTGGGCTAAGGGAAACAGCCTATATTCGGCTGTAAAATACAGGAAAAAATAATTGCCAGCCTAAGATCTTGATGTTATTGGTTATGATTTTTTTATAGAAATTAAGGATTTTTGGGCTTGAATAGTTCATGGAAATAGAATATTCTCATCAGATAATAAATGAACTGATGAAAATAATCACTTGCATTCTTTCAAAACATGTACATATATGTTATAAGTTCTGAATTGATTTGAATAAGGCTGTGGTCCCTCCTGTTTCAAGTGTCTTTTAGACCTGTGCCCAAAGTCACCAAATATATGCATTTTGTCCAAATTATTATAATAAACTTATCCTAGATCAATCTTAATAAATCTTTTAATTTATTAAAAAAAATGTTGCATTAAATTATAGGGTTGTAACAAAGAAGCATGTGAGGATGAAATATAAAGAGCATATAGGGAGAGAACTGAATCATGAGGAGAAATCAAAGATCAATGACATGGTGTATGCTTTTGTGAAAGAACTTTCAGCTGCATCTAATCAGGTAATGTACAGAAACAAGTAAATATAGTCTGTTGTACTAAGGGGTTACATGAGTGACGATGGTATACAGTCACTCATCTCATAAATATGTAACTGAAACATGGGTATAATTATATCCCTTATTTTTTACAGAAAGTGTTGTTTGTTTGTGTTTTTTTCAATAATCATGGAAAACTATTGTCAATCAGTTGTTAAAGGATGCCGATGAAAATGATGAAATTTTGATTTAAACATGAAGGGATGTTAGTATAGAATTATCCATGTATTCTATTTTTACTAGATAAGTAGTGAGCCAGAACCCACAGAGAAGACCCCAATTTCTAACGAGGAATCCCCTGGAAACAAGGAAAATAAGCAAACCAATCATAAAGCCAATACTTTTATCATTAAAGGTAATTTTATAGTATTTTAATCTTTCAATAACTTTGTCAGTATGCATAATTGTGTCACATTAGCCAAATCAAAATATGCAATTAACATAAACTATATCTTTTCACACTTTTTCAACCTGTTGTCAGAGTAAAACAATTGTAGGAAAAACACTCGACACATACAAACTTTATACGATGTATGTGATTATCACCACAGCATTGGTGAGTCATTTATAACAGTTTTGGTCTGAGGCATATGCATATCATGGTTACAGGCCCTTTTTAGAGCTAGAGCAAAAAAAATAGGGGGATAAGTCAGACGTATTGTTTTAATATATAAATGGAAGTATTGTCACCAAACCTAGTTATAATTGAAGTTGAAACTAACTTTTTTTGACAAAGAATGGAGAGTTTTTAGCTCACCTGTCACACAGTGACAGGATGAGCTTTTGTGGTCGCTTTTCTTCCGGCGTCCGTCCGTCCGTAAACTTTTACTTTAAATGACATCTCCTCATAACCCACTAAGCCAATTTCATCCAAACTTCACAGGAATGTTCCTTTGGTGGTCACCTTTAAAAATTGTTCAAAGAATTTAATTCCATGCAGAACTCTGGTTACCATGGCAACCGAAAGAAAAAACTTTAAATATCTTCTTTTAAAAAACCCAAAGAGCTAGAGCTTAGATATTTGGCATGAATAACATCTTCTAGTGAGTGTCTACCAAGTTTGTTCAAATAAAAGCCCTGGGGTCAAAATTGGCCCCGCCCCAGGGGTTCATTGGTTTTCCCTATATGTATATAGTAAAAACTTAAAAAAACTTCTTTTAAAGAACCCAAAGAGCTAGAGCCAAGATATTTAGCATGAAACATGTTCTAATGGGTGCCTACAAAGTTTGTTCAAATAAAAGCCCTTGGGCCAAAATTGGCCCGGCCCCGGGGGTCATTGATTTTCCTTATATGTGTATAGCAAAAACTTAAAAATCTTCTTTGAAAAAACCTGAATAGCTAGAGTGTAGATATTAAGCATGAAACATCTTCTAGTAAGTGCCTACAAAGATTGTTCAAATAAAAGCCCTGGGGTCAAAACTGGCCCTGCCTTAGGGGTGTCATTGTTTTTAAATATATGTGTAAAGAAAAAACTTAAAAAAACTTCTTTTAAAAAATCCAACAAGGTAGACCTTTGATGTCTAGCATGAAACATCTTCTAATGGGTGTCTACTAAGTTTGTTCAAATAAAAGCCATGGGGTTTAAACTGGCCCCGCTCCGGGGGGCCTATATACAGGTGAGCGACTTCAGGGCCATCATGGCTCTCTTGTTATGTATTTTGTTTGTTTCATTACAGGTCAAGTTGTTGATAGAAATGATTTATATAAGTCAAGCAGCAAGAAGAAACCAGACAAATCTCCACATGAAAAAGAAAAACAAAAAATGGAGGAGACTAAAGTAAAGGGAGAAACACCAGAACAGACAAAAGATAGAATCCATAAACAGAAAGCTGCTGCTGCCAAACTCAAAATAAATGAGGTGATGTCAGCTGTTCTTGGTAAGAAAAATCATACTTTCTAACCAGGTTTTCTGTTGTTTTATACCCCCGCACAACAAAGTTGTAAGGGTGGTATACTGGAATCAGCTTGTCCGGACGTCTCCCCGTCCATCGGTTTTTCCTTGTCCGCCCAATAACTTGAGATTCCTCTTCATATTTGGCATGGAGGTTAGTCTTGATTAGTAGATGACCCCTATTGATTTTAGGGTCACTGGGTCAAAGGTCAAGGTCACGGGCCTTGACTTTAAAAAGCTTGTCCGCCCAAAAACTTGAGATTCCTTTGGCCCACAGTCTTCATATTTGGCATGGAGGTTAGTCATGATAAGTAGATGACCCCTAATGATTTTGAAGTCACTTGGTCAAGGTCACAGGGGCCTTGACTAATAAAACCTTGTCCACCCAATAACTTGAGATTCCTTTGACCCACAGTCTTCATATTTGGCATGGAGGTTAGTCGTGATGAGTAGATGACCCCTATTGATTTTGAGGTCACTGGGTCAAAGGTCAAGGTCACAGGGGCCTTGACTAAAAAACCTTTTCCGCCCAATAACTTGAGATTCCTTTGACCCACAGTCTTCATATTTGGCATGGAGGTTAGTCGTGATTAGTAGATGACCCCTATTGATTTTGAGGTCAAAGGTCAAGGTCACAGGGGCCTTGACTTATAAAAAGCTGAACAAAGTGGTATGCGGCGGTATTCACGCCATGACAGTGGCAGTTCTAGTTTATCCTGATTTGGGACCAATATTGCAAACATTTTCAAATCATAATATTTTCACATTTTTTATATCTGTGCTTGACAATAATTGCTTCAATCATACTGTAAATTGTTAGGAGTTGTTTATGACTATGCATGTACAAAAACTGTTAACAGTATAAGATATTCTCTTAATATTTGGGTTAATTCTTATATAAATGTCACTGACATTTTACTTTTTGAACTTCTACATTATCCAGGCCATTGTTTTACTATCAGTCGGGCTCGCTGTTCTATCGCAGCTCTTGCATTGTTAATGTAATTTTTTAAGACTTCCCACCATAAATTATTATATTAAAACTTTCAGGGTTTCCGAAGGGAAAAGTTTTTAAAAGGAAATACTGATTTTTGTAAATTTTAAGACACATCACTACTGAAAGGAATAGCTCCAGAAACAGAAAAACATTCACTGAAACCCTAGAGAAACTTTTAAAGGGGAGGGAGAGAAAAAAAAAACAGATGTCCAATTTTAAAAAAAAACAAGATGGGAGAAAAGAAAAAGGTAAATCGTTTTTGGTTTTAAGCTAAATTTTTTTTCCCCATTCTTAATTAACATTTGAAAAATGGGGAGCTTTCTGTTTTTTTGCCCGTGTCAACCCGTCGCCAGGTTACTCATTAGGTAGTGTTGGGCTGGGATCGGGCAATTTTGGTTCGATTCCTGGACAGTGCATCATTTTCGTTGTGATTGATTCGCACTGTACTTCTGCTCTGGCATAAGAAGTTTTAGTTCCTTGCAAAAGTTAAGGCAACTAATACTGGTAAACAGCCTGCAGGAATGATGCAGTGGCTGAACTTTGCTCTGGTAAATTCAATGTGACTTAATGCTGTGAAAACTACCAACACCAACACCACGGTGTCACACTTAAGTAAAAAAAAAAGTTGGTATCTACAAAACTATGTAAACCTTCTATATTTGTGTTAAAGTCTTCTCTTTTTGATAAGAAGATGTCTTATTTGACTTAAATTGATTTGATATATTGGAATTATTAAATTGTGCATGGTGGGTGATCACATGACATTATGGGCATTATGTTCTGGTAGATTGTGTAACTCTCAATACAAAAAATATATATATAATGATTTTAAACCTCGAGGATCAAAGACATTCTATTAGGATGTGGAGCATATGCTCAAGTCTGAAAAGTTTTATAGGATATTTGCACTTGTTTAGTAAAAAAAATTGTAGATAAAAAAAACAATATTTTGCTTTACATTTCTTCAGTGAAAAAAATTCAAGGTCATCAAAATTTAGGAAAGGCAGGGTAAATTGAGACAATTAGATATCAAAGGCATATGTAGCTTAAAATAATAAAAATCATGTAGCAGAAGCAATTAATCAATTAAAAACAAAATCTGTACTCTTATGTAAAGCCATCTGATTCACATCTCTTTACAGTTAAAACGAAAACCAAGGCTAGAAGAAGTCTAAAAATGGAGTCAAAGAGTGAAAAATCTAAGTCTAAAAATATTCAGGACGATTCTGACAATCTAAGTGATGATAATGATCTCAGTTCCATAGAAAATGATAAAACTAAAAAGAAATTGACAAGAAATGGTTTAAAAGCGAATGATTCTCGCAAAAAGGCAAAGGTTAAACCAAATTCTGATTCGGATGAATTAACTTTAAAAAAGACACCTCAGAAATACGGTAAAGGTAAAACTTTGATATCTGACAAGGAAACTGCAAATCATTCTGAAAAGAGGAGAAAAATAGTTAAAAGAAAAAGAAAGGTTATTGTGGATGATTCAGATACTGAATCTGATACAGGGATGAAAATGATTTGGAAAATCAAAAAGTAATAAGGAAAAACCGGGAAAGGGAAAGAAGGGCTGTTTTAAAAGAAGATAGAAAAAGTAAAATTTTATAGGATTCCCTTCAGAACTGAAGAAAGAAACCGGATAAAATTTCAGCAAAGAAAAATTTTTAATGTAAAGTCGGTTTAAAAAAAAAATTGAAAAAAAGTAAAATGAGATGAAAAGGAAAGACAATAAGAAAACTGGTGAGAATGAGAAAAAAGACAATGCAGATGAAGTTGGTGTCAATTCTGATGAAAGTACAGGGGATACACCTTTAGTAAAGAAAAAGAAAGTAAAATCTAAGATTGATGATGATTCAGATGTTAGCACTGGTGATACACCTTTAATAAAGAAAAAGAAAGTAAAATCGAAGACTGACGATGATTCAGATGTTAGTACTGGTGATACACCTTTAGTAAAGAAAAAGAAAGTAAAATCTAAGATTTGCAATGATTCAGATGTTAGCACAGGGGACACTCCTTTAATAAAGAAAAAAAAAGTAAAATCTAAGATTGACGATGATTCAGATGTTAGCACAGGGGATATTCCTTTAATAAAGAAAAAGAAAGTAAAATCTAAGATTGATGATGATTCAGAAAATGATTTAGCAAGCACTCCAACAGTTGTAAAGAAAGATAAGAAAAAAACAGGTCAGCAGGACTTAAGTTCTGTGGATTCACCTTTGATGAAGAAAAAAGTGAAGAAAAATACTAAGAATTCCTTAAATGATAGTGACATTGATATGGGTAATGAGGTCATTCAGAAATCCGTTGATGTACATAAAACATCTGTAGAAAAAGACACAGAGAAAAATCACATATCAGATCTTAATTCAGTTAAGCGTGTTAAAAGAAAAAGGGAACTCTCTGATAGGTCGAATGCCAGCACTAGTGAATCTCCGGATATTAGGAGAAACAAGAAACTAAAACGAGATAAAACTCCAGATAAACAGAATGATTTTGAATCAGAACAAAGTGATGTAAGTACTGGTGATACACCAGTTGTGAAAAAGGCTCTCAGGAATAGTAGTGTGCATTTAGATAAACAAGATGTTGAAAAAGAAGCTAGTGAAAGAGTAAAGGATGATTCTAATTCTTCCAAAAACAATATAGATGATAAGGAATCCCCTTGTAGCCCTCCTGAAGACAAAGAAAACTGTGATAATACAACTGATAATGATAGTCCTATAAAAGTTGTTAAAAAACGTGGCAAAGTGAAGCGACAGTTAAATAGTTGCTCTGATGAAGAATCTCCCATCGTAAAGCCATCAAAACAGAAGGTAAATTTGTGGTTGATGAAAAAATTAATGATAATTTCATTTCTTTTCTTATTTGTTTGAAAAATATGTTAGAAATATCTAACAAAACTTTTGAAAGGGGAATGTTCAAGAATCTGAAATTTTTATTTTAAGGAAAATACCATTTTACCAGGACAATAGTTTTATTAAATTACGGATGTAAACTCATTTACACGAGAAAGACCATATTGGGATAAACAGAAAAAATTATAAAATAAAAAAATTTTATAACCAACTGTAGCTTCAAATAAAGGATTTTTATTTCAATAATTGTCATATAGATTTTATAGTACCAACATAAAAAATATCAAGCAACAAATTGTAACATCAGACAATGTAGTTTGTTGCATTAAAAAACGCAAATGTCAAATTATTCCTGTGACTGTATGTTAATTTAAATTTTGTTTTAAACTATTGAACAGAAAAGAGCTTCATCAAAGTAAGAGCTGTAAATGGGAACCTAAGCATCAATCAGACCCTAACATCCAAAACGATTCTGACAATTCTGATGATGATGGTGATAGCTCAGATGATTTACCTTTAGCACAGATTAAACACACAGTGAAAACTAGGGTATGGTAGTGTTTTTCTTTTTTAAGAAGCAAAACTGTATGGTCATGTTTATTATTGTCTTGTAATTTATAGTGTGATACTGGTGGTTTTTCTATCATCATATAGATTATATAGCTTCAGATATTTTAAACAGATGAGGATTTTCACAAACTATTTTATGTATCATTACTGTATATCAAGCCTATAGGGTATGTATTGTTTAAAAAAAAAATCCTTGAACTATTCACTTTTCAAGCATTGAAGTTTCAATTTTTTGTTTACATAGAAATGATCACGTTTGATTAAAATACTGAGGCAAAAGCTTCCATTTAATAATTGAATACAACCTTTTTATCATATATTTTGTGTAAAATTTTATTTATTTATTTATTTGTTACATTTTCAGGTATCAGATTTATCATCTGACAGTGAAGATGATATTCCACTTAGTAAAACCAAAGCAGCTCAGAGTAAAGAGGTAGTTACCACCAAAGCTAGCAAAGCAAAAAAGGTAAATTACATAGAAATCTATATATATCAAGTGGTAATTATATTTAGAAGACAAGAAACAAAACTTGCCTTGAATTATAGATTGTCAGGGTGCATGTCATCATTACTTCAAGCCTTGAAAGCTGGTCTATTCAAATTGGCTTTCTACATTTCATTATTATGTCTAGCCATATTTCGATCAAGATTTCAGTTGACTGGTTTTAGACCAGTAAACAGTACAGTATTGGAATCCCTACTTAAGCCCACCGGAATTTTTTAAACACTGGCCAAAGCAATAATCCTGTGAACAGGCTTTTTACTTTTGCTGACCTTGCTTGTATGATGGGACATAATTGAATGGATGAGTTAAGACTATTTGATGCCATTATAATTGTAGCTTTACAATATAGAATTTAAGATCAATAACTCTAGCATGGATTTTGACTGAACTAAGATTATTGGTCATAGATCACTATCCACAATTACTGAAGATGTTTACTGGAACCTTTTTATCTTCATCTTTGATCATTGTAAGTCATTTAGGCCAAGACTAGTATTATTTTTCTTGATTTGGAATTAATTTGTTTAATTATTCGGCTCTTTGTTTTGCTTTCAAGCCCACAGGTGAATTCGGCGTGGCCGTGACTTACACTATAAGAAAAGTGTCATAAAAAATTTTTTTTTCATAAAAATATTTTTGTTGGGGGAATATTAAAGATGTGTTGGATGATGTTAAGGGTTTTTGGGTAAAGGGGGAAATCGGGGGGTAAAGTGGTAAGTCATGGCACGCGACGCTTCCCTGTTTTCCCAAGCCTGATGATTATTGGGTTTGCTTCCCAAGTTAAGCAGCTCTGTTTATGTATTAATGCATTCTATAAGTTGGGATCTGACTTCTTCGTGTCATGCGATTTTAATCTCCTATTTAAAGTAGAAGTCCCAAAAAGTTGTGGGTTATTCGTGCTAATACCACACTAAAACTGTTTTGGACGTTCACATTTAGGCATGATAGGCAATAAATCAATCTACTCACAACGCAGACGTAAACCACTAAAAATGTGACCGGCGCTGACAATAAGTAACAGAAGCCAAGATCAAGGAAACCGCATTAAGGGGGCCAATTATAAATGTACGACAGCAAATTATTGTTGATGCGGTAGAAAGAACGAATTCCGCGACGAAAACATCATAATTACACCAACATTGGGCCGCAAAAATCGGATATTACCCCCCCCACCTAGGCCCAATCCGAAAAACCTTTTCCCCAAAACGTGAGTTTATTGAGCTAAAAAATCACAGTTGGGATATATTAGTTTCTTAAAAAAAATAAAGCCAATTTTCTTACCAAGAATTTTAAACCTAAACAGCAAATAATTTGGATTATTTTTTGTTCAGGGAAGTTAAAAATATTCTAATAGGAAAAGCAAGTGACGACATTAAGTTTAAATGTGGTACATTTGGGAAATTACAATTGAATTGCTAGCCATTTGGTCCGGTGTTGCGTTGTTTAATCTTAAAATCATGATTTTAATAAAACCTATTGTCTTCCAATAGACCAGATCAATCTTCCATCTGTGCAGTCTTATCATATTGTCAGCTGCTAAATCTAATATTTAGGTATTGAATTCCCTGGAAACTACTTAGTAAAACTCCAATGATACAACAGTCCACAAATATATGAAGGTTTGGGGTAGAAATAAGTTCTAGTCTGTTACATGTTAGTCTTGTTACAAGAAGAAAATCTATTAGGGTTAATTATTGAATGCTGCATAATTCTGCATAATTCTGCATAAAGCCACACAACCTATTTGATAATGATTTTTATATCACATACATGTACAAAATCATGTACTGCAGGTGTAACAAAAGCAAATTAATGATTACAACAATTTTATTATTAGCAGGAAGAAAATGTTCCGACATCAGATATGGCGTACTTGAGATTACTCCGGCAGATCTGCAGGGAATGCCAGATGTTTGTACGTTACTGAAAGAACTGGCGGGGTGCAACACAACAAGGGGAAAAATTTAAAGACCTTTAGCAAATGCCCGTTAATTTGGGAAAAAGGGAGGGAAAAAATTTTTTTAAAAAAATTTTTTTTGGCTTTAAATTTTATTTTAATTTTACATTTTTAAAAAACAATCTTATGGGTTTACCCGCAACCCCCCATTTTTTATAAAAAAAAAATCAAAGGGCAAGGCCCGTTACCTTTTTTCAAAAATTTTCTCTTTAAATTTTGAAAATGTACAGTTATTTTTTCCACATTGAGAAAAGTGGGAAAAACCTTTTTCGTCAATTTCAGTGATAACCCGGGTTAGGTATTTAACAAATCGTGCAAAACACCTTTTTAGATTTTTTTCTTCAAAAAAACCCTTTAAAAAATACTCATTTTTATTTTTAACTTTTTTTAACTCTTTTGAAGACTCATGCATCAATAATGACTTGCCACCAGAATATAGCGGGGCCAGACTGCACATATTGCATTTTCACCAGGTTGTTCTATAATACAATTAACAGTAAAAGAAGAGTAAATTTTACAAATAAAGCAGTAAAACTTTTGTTATCTACAAACTTGTTGGACTTATTTAAAAATTATGCTTAACTTTCAGTGGCATTGGTCTTTGTTTCCAACAATCTACATGGTGGTTTGTTTTTTGAAATATTTCAGGAAAACCCACGATGAAGAAAGCGGAAGAAGTAAGATTGATGAAAGAAGCGAAGGAATTGAGTGCTGATAATATAATATCAAGTGAAACTGGTAGGTTCTGTGTTATAACTTCATTCTATTGGCTACCTATGTGTTGTCACCTTTTTAGTTTCTTAGTTTTAAATCAAGCCAGCTAGTGAGTACATGCTGACTTAGTTCAATAAGGAGAACATCGGATTTGTAGACCAGGGATTACTGGTTTGATTGTTGAATGAGGATAATTTCAACGTAACTATTGATCTTGAATGTTGAATTAAATTGTCATCTGTCTTGCATTGCTGATCAGAAATCATGCAAGATTAGTAGTTGGTCACTTGTGGAGAAAATGGTAATAACTGGTTAGTTATCCAGGAAAGTTAGTAAGGTGGAAGGACCGTCAAGATAATACGAAACTTGTTAAAATAGGCATAAGATAAAAAAAAAAAAAAATTAAATAAGTACATACAGGCTGTTGGCTGCTTAATTTTAATGTGGATAATAGACTTTTCCAAATACAAAATATGACAAATCCACTTAACAAATTTGGCAGTGTTAAAAGGTGGAGTTGTCTTTGAAGTTCAGCATATTACATAGATTGTACAGAGTTTGTTGTTTTATTTTTCTGCCAGGTCGTGTGATGAGGAAAGTTAAAAGTATTTGGGCTAGAAGAACAATATCTCCTGTAAAACCAGTCAAACCAGCACATGGAAATCCTTTTGCAGGCATTCAAGATATTGTAGATAATGAAGGGACAGAAAGTGATTGAATAACATAATCTCATTATTTCTGGCTCAGAAACACAAAATTATGACTTTATTTTAAAGCTACTGGAAAAGAGGGAGGTGCAGGCAGTATTTGCTTGGATATTATGATTTTATGGAAAAAAAACAGCAGGAGGAAGAGGAAAATGGATGGAGAAAAAAGATGAAATAAGCTGAATTTAATTTAAAAAAAGATGCAAATCTATTGGGATAATATTGTGTTATTTATAGCAAAGTTTGTCTGAATAGTTAAAATATTTAATCTGTTATGTAATGATAGTAATGGGTCTAGGAAAGAACAGGAAGAATATTGATATAACAGTGTGAAAATGCCATCAGTTGATTCAAGTTAGACCTTTTTTTTATGATTTTTTAGGTTTTTTTTTGTTGTTTTTTCCCTTTGTTTTTGTTTTTTTGTTTTTTTTGGACATAAAAATGTTAAACACAGAATTTTTTTTAAATTTTTTTTTCCCTTTTAAAGGGAAAAAATAGTTTTTAAAAAGGTCAAAAAGGTATCTTTTTAATTTTTAAATTTTTTTGTTTTGTGCTAAGTTGGGAAATTTTTTTATGTTGAAAGGTGAAATTTTTGTAATTTTATATTTTTTACCTGACATACACATTTTTATACCAGAATCATATCATTTAAAAAACAAAAAAACTAAATTTTTTGGAAATTATTTTGTTTTTAAATTTTAAACAACATTTTTAAATTTAAAAATAAAAAACAAGAATAACTTTTTTAAAAAATTTTTCCAAAACTTGGTTTAAAATAAAAGGAAAATTAAAAAAGTAAATTTCCCAAAAAATTGAATTTGGGAGAAACCAAATAAAAAACATTTGAAAAGAATAGACAGAAAATTACTTTCAAATTTAAAAGAACTAAGCAATTTATATTTTCATGATTTTTAAAGGGGTTTGTTTAGTGGCAAAAGATATTTTATGTACATTTAGTCAAACTAAATTTTTGAGAATTTCACAAATTTTTATTTTAAAATTTTTTTATTTAAGGGGGTCAAAAAACTTGCTAGGGGCCCCTTTTGGGGAAAAGAAAATTTTACAAAGGGGGTCCGAAAATGATTGAATTTTGAAAACCCCAAAAGAAGAGCAGGGAACTTTATTTTGTATCACCCCCCCCCCTAAATAAAAATATTTTTGGGTAAAAATTTTTAAAAATAACAAAATTTGAAAATTTTTTTTACGGGAATTCGGAGCCACGTTATTTTAAAAAAAATAATTGTAAATGAAAACCCCCGTAGTGATATAGGGCTTTTAAAGGGCTTTAAAAAGAATTCTTTTAAAATTAAATTTCCACCCTTTGGGAAAAAAAAAGCAAAATACCGTCTAATTTTTAAAAACCAATGGAAATAAAAGTTTTTTTAGGTTACAGCATTGAGTGTAAAAAAAAGAGACCTTCAATGAAATTTAAAGATCAATTATCTTTAATTCGGGGTACAACCCCTGTTTTTATGGGGCAACACTTATGTAATTAAACACACTAAATATCAGTTTTTTGTAATGATTTTTAGTAAAATTTAATTTATTTGGAAAATTTGGAAAAAGGGGATTCCCGATATGGCCAGGGAATTGGGAAAGGGGGGATGATTTTGTTATCCAACAACTCAACTCAACTCAACTCAACTCAAATCATTTATTTGTAAATAAAGGCCTCCGGCCCAAAATACATCATAAGGTATAACATATAATAAAATGTCAAGTAGTTGTATATTGTGAAACTTAAGTATCATTAATTATATTCATAAGTTGATAGATGTAAATAGATATATTTTTAACAATGTCAGGGTTTTGAGAAGACAAAAGAGCATAGAATCTTGAAGTTCTGTTCCATGTATATACCAGCTAAATAAATATATTTGTCTAATAGTATCATATTTAACACATTTAAAAAAGGCATGGTACTCACAATCAATTACATTAGCATTATTAAACTGTTGGCAAAAGTTACATATACGATTTTCTTTTATAACATTATTATATCTACCTAATTCAATATTCAGCCTGTGATTTGAAAGGCGAAACTTTGACATAGCAATTCTATATTTTAACTGAATATCCATAGTTAAATATTTTTCAACAGTAAGTAGGCTTTTAAAGTTATTATAATGATCACATCTACTAGAGGATTCAAGAGCTGTTTGCCAGTCTAGTGTACAATAGTTAACAACTCTTTGTTTAAACATGGTAATAAAGGCAATGACATCACCAACATCTTGACTTATCCATATAAAACTGAATCCATATTTATACAAAAGTGTTCTAACTTTGGTTGCCCAGCAGTTTTCTACCGGCATCATCTAGAGATTTTAACATGTTATAACATTGCTTTGGATATCTATGTGATGGCATGGTTAACAAATTACACCAATATCGAATACAATTTATATAATATGTAGTACATAAAGGCAATCTACCACATTCACCAAGAACCATACATGTATTAGTAGTTCTACGTACATATAAAATATGTTTACAGAATTTATTATGAATAGATTCTATTGTATCTACATATTCATAGCCCCAAATTTGAGATGCATAACAAAGTATCGGTTTGACCATGGAATCAAAAATCTTAAAAGAATCAACAACAGAAAAATAACCAAAAGGTTTTTGATAAGCATTTATGGCAAAGAGAGCTCTTTGCGCCTGAGATACTAACTTAGAATGAGCGGATGACCATGACAAACTTGATGTAAGTACGATACCCATGTACTTATACTGAGAGGTAATATTGATTTGTGTCCCACGATATGACCAATGCTCATATCGACGAAGAGGACCTCCATTTCGAAAAACCGTAATTTCAGTCTTATCCATATTTATTTCCATCCCAGTATCACAACAAAAATTGTCAATAATATTTATTTGTTGTTGAAGCTTAAATGCAGTGGATATAGCATAAGGTTATTTGATAAAGCATTAAATAAACACTTGTCAAGAATCTGTCGTGTTTAGTGGGGGTTTTTTTGTGTGTGGGGGGGGGTGGTTGTTTTTTGCTTAACACTATATTATAATCATCAAACTCACTTGTTTTATCTAAGCTTAATAAACCTTTGAAAACATTCTAGTGTGTACAGTTATTTAAAGTGGTAAATATTTCCGTTTGGATATTAAAGCTTTTTTTGTAAATATATTTGTATTTTATTTTTTTTTGCTCAGAATCATCCCCTGTGTGGAATAAGATTTTGATTCTGAATAAAATACTTAGCAAGTTTCAGGTGATATTATAGTTTAGACTGAAACTTGGTGTTTCTTATTGGTCAATTTCTTTGAAGATATTTGAAGGTGACCAGTGGTATTGTACACTTTCTGGACTGGTCTACAAGCTGCAGATAGTAAATTATTTTCACAACGTTTGGAATGCCATTAGTTATGATTGTGATATCTAGTCTTACCTTAGTACATGTGTACCTGAACTGTATATTTGTACATATGAAGTGTTCCTGTATGAATCTGTATATGTGAATCCAGGGTTTACATTATAAACAGATTGATGATCCATATCCTCAGTTGAAATATTGTTAAAAT